TGCGTGAAATACACAGCAGTATGAAAATTCGGCTGCGTGAAACACACAAACTTCACGCATGCGTGGAGTGTATGGAGTGTACGGGAGTGATTCACGCAATGGTGCGAATAGTCACGGCCATATCCCGAGGCGAAAAATTTAATCAGTTTGTGGCCTGATTTGACTAGGGATGACCTGAAAATCCGCCGTCCGACGGCCAAAAAGCAACCATAACGCGTTTTTACGACCACTTTTCTCTGCCCAGTGCGAATAGGTGAATAGGTCAAATACCGAACAAAATGCATTTACTGTTCGTCGAATTCTCCAAAGTGCTCCAGAGACTTAGCAAACTTTTAGTCATTGGATTTTGAAGTACTTTAACTTGTTGGAACTTTTGGAAAAATTTTCAATACTTGGACTTGGAAAAATTTTTGCCAGTAAGGATATTCTAAGATGTAAAAAACTCTGCAAAATTCGATAATTATTGAAAATAAAAACTGCAGTTTGTGCCAGCACAGCGTCCTTAAAAATTCTACTTTTCATCCTCAAGTTCACAATTAGATCCATTTTTTACCATTTACGGAGGAACAATTTGTATTTAGATGAAATGTTTTCCCTTTTCTTTAACTTTTGATCAAAAACTGAAAAAAGTCTCCAGAGCACGTCGGCTTTTCTCCTAAAAGTTGCATACCTAGCCCAAAAACTGACCAAGTCCCTAAATTAACCCAAGACTAAATTTTTCGACTCGGGATGTCATTGCGTCAAGATAATGCTTTGTCTACATTAAAGTACGCCTCTATGACAAATGAGCATTGATCAAAAACAGAATTCTAAAATTCTTTTGTTTATCAATTTTTCAGAGAAAACTTCTCGATGTGAGCCTGGGCTTTGCAGGTGGTGTAATGATAGCAGCGAGCTATTGGTCACTGCTGGAACCGGCCATTGAAATGGCCCAAAAGAGTAAAATTTACGGTGCTAATGGGGAATACGCGTGCATACCAGTTGGAATTGGATTTGTCATTGGCGCAGCTTTTGTTTATGGAACAGATGTATTGATATCAGCCCTTGGCATTCAATCCCCCAATGTGCTATTAGCTATGCAATCAGTTGGTACGAAACAAAGACGAAAAATCCATGAAAAGAGTGACGAGGATTTAGACGATAACAATGTAATTAGTGGTGTACAAATAAGCAGTGGCAAAAATCATTATGACACGACCACTATTGATGGTATTGCCATGTATATATTCATATCTGGAATGTCAAAAAAAATATTATAAATTCTGTAGGTCTGAATAATGGGATCAGTTTACTGACGTTCAAGTACACTCGCCCCTCTTTACTCGTAATAATTAGAATGAGCTCTCGAATAAGCAGTCGAAAATTATGGCATTACTTGCTACAACTAATTGAATTATTGAAAACAATGTCAACAGTATTGCTATTTTGTCCAAGCTATCTGCTTATTCCGGGAGCTTCCCTTTTCAGGCTACTATGAGTTTTAAAAGTCGCGGGTTATTGGAATGACATTTCTCATACATGAAGTTCGATTATGTATGTCTAAAAATTAAGAATGAGTGCAAAAAAAATAATTATTCATTGTTCGTTTGCCCCGCAGACTCGAGAAATGTTAAAAACAGTCCAAAAATGGTTTTGAACGAATCGAGAATATAGTTTAAATATTTTGAAGATAATTTTTTACCTATTTTACATGAATGGCGCAAATTTTTATATTAAATAAAACGAAATTAGTAGTGTAGAAGTCGAATTCAAAAAACTAATTCATAATTGTTATTGTACACATTTTTTTTCCAAAATTTTGAAACAAACTCTTTGTAGCTCAAAAATTGGACTATTATTAACATTTTAACCCTAGATAGGTCACCCTATGAGGGAAACCCCGCCGTGTGTCGTTTTTCTTTAATTACAATTGACTGACTAACCGGAAAAATTCAAAAAAATTTGACTTTGTCAATTGAAGTGTATAAAAAATTACAGTCGTTTTTAGAACAACATATTTCCCAAAATTCCTAAAGAAAACAAATCATTTCGGACGGATGAATTACTTTTTCTCATGTTAAATGAAATTGGCCGTGATGTGACGTTGCCGGTAACTCGCTAAACGCGACCGAGCAGTGTAGAGTGAATTTGGCAACGTTAAAGCCTAAATAACACGGCGGGGAATCCCCGCAGAGGTGACCAATCGCAGGGTCACGTTTGGTGACGGGACTAGGGTTAAGCGTGTGCGGGACAAACGAGCAATAAACAATTAATCATTTTGCACTAATTATTGACTAATTATTTTTAGACATATATAATCGATCTTCAATGCATGAGAAATCTCACTCCAATTGTCCACGACTTTTAACACTCATCGTAGTCTCCCCATAGCCGCTTATCTCATACCTTACCCTGATGAATTATGGAAAAATGATATGTAGTACGTTTGAAGATTTATGATTTTTTTGCATTCCTAAGAGTGTATGCGGCGTGAATATCCCCTTTAACGAAATGCAGAGAACTCTTGGGCACGGTCTTGGCTACTTAAATAATTAAAGATGAAGACGTGATTTAAATACGTAACACAATAAAGTGGGGAGAATTAAACCCAATTAACTAAATCGTTAAATCACTCGTGTGAAAATTATGAGGTGCAGTGTGAAGTGCTAATAAACCTTGAAATTTCAGTTCTGACGTAATTTTGAAAATATAAAAATCTGTGTCAGTTTGACGTTTAAAAAACACCGAGTTGCGTATGAAGATTTAAAAAACGTAATAACATAAATATAGTGAGAATAAACACATTTGTCCCTGCAAGACAATGCTCCGAGTTACTCTGCACTGGAAAAACTGATCTTATTCATTCCTGCATGTCTGCAGACCTTCAATTTTATAATATTTTGTATCTTTTAATTCTTTCTCATCTGTCACTGATTAAGTTACTCTGTCTCATTGGGATCAAATTGACGGAAATAATGGTAGCATGTTTGGCATGCGAAATTTTGAGTAATCATCGAATACAACTTATGGCAAATTTCTCTGAGTTTGTGGATGGTTTGAATTATAAGGAATAGGGAATAATAATTATTTACGAATAGGAAATTGCCATGTTTTTTAGGATTTTACGAGCAAAGTACGAGGAGAAGACAACCTGGATCTTTGTCCAGAGGGTCTGAATTGGGTGACTTAGGAATCGTATACGAGGACCCAGGAAATGAGGCCAAAAATAATCAGTGGAGGCGGATACTGTTATTAGTCGTGGCGATTACGGTACAGTAGTTTTTGAAGTTTTATATTTTCCATTCGATTCGAAGTTGTCATTCAATTTTTGACATTTTTCAGGTGCACAACATTCCAGAGGGTCTGGCTGTTGGCGTTGGCTTTGCAGCGGTGGGAAGTAGCCCGGCAGCTACCTTCGAGAGTGCAAGGTAAGCATCCCAATTTCAATATCTACGGTTCATCAGTTGCTGCTGATATTGAATTCTTCATTATTTATAGATCAATAAATGCGCAGATCCAATGAATCATGGAATCGTTACTTTCCTCGAAAAAATTGTTTTTGCTTTTTCTCTAGATCAAGATAACGATGTTATCTTGAGTATCGTACGAAGTAGTGAAAAGATTTCACGAAAAAACGTGTTGAAGAGTATTTCTAGAATTATGACAAATATTTACACTCGTAGCGAATATCATGAGAAGTACTTCCGATTACTTGCGATCTCTAGCGAATTGGAATTAGAAGGATTTCTCCAGTCCAACTGAGCGATAAAGTAGGGGTGTACTTTATCGACTGGGATAAGGTTGATTTCTCTCAAAGTTCTTGTGACGAAAAAATTAATTCGAAAATCACCGAGCCTTTTACGATAACTACGTTGGATTATACCTATAAAAAAATAATCGAAAATTTGAGAGTCGACGAAAGGACGATAATTCACGAAAAAACTTTTTCTGACTATTTTACTGATTATGAAATGAATTTTATCAATTTTTTTATTTTTATGAAGGGTCTTTTTTTATTTATTCTTTTGTTTTTTTCCGAATGTAATAACCATCTTTGAGAATACAAAACACTCTCGTTGTCCAATAACGAAAGACAAAATACCTGACTTTCACATCCATTCAAAATTTGTTTTAAAAATTCCGACCGCAAGATGTCGTAAGTATGCAACAAAGCAGAGGTGAATTTGAAAACGATGGAGAAAGAGATTCGTGGTAGGAGGTCTCCATGAATGAGTTCCATGGTGGTCGCAAGCGGTGGTCGGCCAGAGGCAAAGTTTATTGGCACGAACTGCGCCGGGAGGGGAAAGGGACAGGGGGCACGTGTAGCCCTGGAATCCAACGAGCCCTAGGCGCCGCGCATTCCATCCCTACCATAACTTGGTCCCTTGGTTAGGCCTATTTTCGAGCTTGCTTTCTTTAGCGCGCATTTAGTTCTCAAGCACGGGCAAACGTTATACACTCGTTTACTAAAGTTCTGAAACAAAATACATAGGATGCAAGTTCAGATTGTTTCAGAACTTTAGTAAATGATTGCACCCCTGGTTCAGTCGCGTTAACCCATATGCTTGTACTTCAAACTCTTCTTCCTTTGATCGAATCGCCATTTAACACTGTTTCGAGACGTGGGCTTTCAGCCTTTGCTTTAGTCGAGTCTACGGCCTTCTGATGTTTCTTTGTTTAGAAAGTATCAAATTGTGAATTTTGAAATTTCGAGCTGACCAGTTTGGCTTCTTCTTTATTAATGAATTACGTGTCACAGCGTTCATTCATGATTATCTGGAACATATCATTCATCTTTCAAAACAGAAATTCTAAATTAATTAATGAATTAATAAATAAATTGATTCTAAATTAAACTTACGAGCATTTTCTATAAATAATTTATGAATAATGAATTTTCCGGAATCATAACAAATTTATTCATGTTCAGAATTTTACCAGAAATGTACTTCATGCGTAAAAAAATTAGATTTACGAAAGTTTAGACAATTTCAATTATTTATTTATAAACAACGAGTGTTTAAAAAAAAATAATTTTGTGCAAAATGTAATTTGAATGACGCTGAATATTCATGATTTTTTCAAATTTTTCTTACGCAATTTAACTGACAATTTCGATGATTGAAAATGGTTGCATCTATAGTGTGGTCTGTACCAAACTATAGACTATATTCTTAAGGATATCCAAGTACTTTGGCTATTTTTTCTTCAGTGAAATCCTTTCTACTTTTGTAGTTGAACATCAGAGCTTTCATTTAAGCCCCATTTGACCCTAATTTCCGGACATTTTACAATAATGTTATTATTCAAACCTTGCAGGGCAGAATTTTAATGTCGATATTGAACCGTTGAAAAACATTTAAAAAATCTGAAAAACAAAAGTTTACTTTTGGAGGAAGATTGATGATATAATTAACATATTGGAATTTAAAAAAAAGGTTTCCGCAAGTTTAAACAATAGCAATTATTTATTTATAAACGAGTGTTTAAAATAATAATAATTTTGTGCGAAATGTAATTTGAATGACGCTGAATATTCATGTTTTTTTTTTTCAATTTTTCTCAGGCAATTTAATTAACAAATTTGATGATTGAAAATGGTTGAATCTATAGTATGGTCTGTACGAAACTGTAAAAGATACTCGGATATCTGTAACTATTAACATCGTTCGTTAGCTATTAACTAATAGTCTTAATAGTTGAAAAGCCTCGTCGACAGCAACTAAATCGTACAATTACTGCACCAGCAAATCACCTTCAATTTCAAAACCCTTTGGGCCCTGAAATGTGCCTGAAATTAGTTGAACGCCGAAATTTTTCAGCATTAAAAACAGTTGTTTAGTGGCGTGAAGGGTCTATCCTGTAGTAATCGTTTCGTCCGTTGTTGGCCCTCTGGCGCCACCTTAGACACAGACGCATATCTGATGGTGCGATTCCTGGAAGCGGTCTTCCCTTCTGCTTTATTAGGGCGTACCATAGGAGCCACTCGGGTTTGAGTTTGGGTTGCAAAGACGAATACCATCGTCTCACAGCAGGTTTCAAATTCATTCTCTTGAATTCTTCAACCAACTTTAAATTATGTAGCTTGGTTTTGCTCAAGTGGTATGATATGACTGCTATATTTGTAGATTCAGAAGCCAATGGCAATTAACCTCCCTCGGTTATCGTTATATCATGCATTTTTGCATAGTAATTTCAATGATAATAATTGGAACTGGCTGGATAATCATTCGAATAATAGGATTTATAATTATACATCATAACATAACGAAGGCAGCGATGCAAAATGAAGCCCTCAACTGTAATCATGGCTCTTTGTGGACCCTCTGAGTACCTGAGGACGGACCCTCAGTCTGTGCACTCGGTTTGTGTGGTGTGTTAGTGCGTTGGGTTGAGCAACAGCTCAACCTAACCTCACTTCAAATGCGTACCGCCATGAACCGGCATTCCAGCGCATTCAAATGACGTCGAAACCGAGTCTCCTCGAGAGTTTCGGTGGATTCGTTGGTGTAGTAGTGGAGTGTCGATGAGCCCTTGAAAATTCCTGGAATAAATGACTCTATTCCTTCCTTGATTGATAATTAGGAAATATCAAAGCGTCGTTTTTACAAACCCGTGAATAAAACGCGACCTGCTCTTTGCAGATCACGCCTTGATAGGATTTTGGAGTAAGTAGGAGAGGAACCAAAAATTTACTGAAAAAATTGATAGCCCAGACCGCGCGATGACCAGCGTTTAGTGGATTGTCAAACACGTACAATCAATGTATTCAAATGGAAATGAGTAAATGATAATACGAATTATTACCAAATGTGACACAATCTTATGATTGAAAAATTCATGACTGTCAATTTACATCTAGCTATAGTTAGTTGGAATAACAGGGGAAAATATGATCGATGTTAGAACATGTGAAAAATTGACGTCAACCGACCGTCACATAACGGTCCTTTTATTCTGACACGACGGATTTTAAAACGTGACGTAATTCCGCATTCCTGCACAAAACGCCTTATCACCATGAAACCCTAGAGCTATCTACGAATCCCAAGTTATATTACCATTAGATAAGTATGATGTGACCATCAGATAGTAAATTGATTATTAATTTCGTCACATTACAAGAATCGATCACACTCCCATCGGTCCTTGTCATTTTTTCGCATCTCTGATTCATGTTTCCAATTTTTTTAGTGAAATATTTTCATTAGAATATATAAACGTCAAAATGGCCATGGAAAAGGCTGATCGGGAGAAATGATTGGAGGGGAAAAATATACGTGATAGAAGAAAACACAAAAGAGGGAGAAAGACTTAACCCAGCTCGGCAACATTGGCCAATGATACGGGTTATCATTCTCCCGTTACGCACACAGTAGAAGGAGCACTGGTGTCCGTGTCTATCGCGTCAGCTGCTTCCTTCCCCCCTCTATCCACTCCGTGCCCTCCAACTCTTGGTTGCCCGCGTTCTCGACCCTGTCAGGCCGCACCGCCTCTCGGTACCACGTACTTGTTCTACGTGTCGATCATCGTACGTAATGCCCTGAATGGTCCGTGCGCTTAGTGAAATGTATATAAAATTTCCCCCCCCCCCCCCTTCAGCTGTGATCTCGTTTCTCTAGAATTTACTTATTTTTATTTCCCTTTTTCCCCATTTTTCCTCTTCAGTGAATGCATTTTCATTTTATTCTTCAATCTTTCTCGCCATACTTGAAGCCTACCTAACATCCAGTGCACCCAATCGCTCCACCTATTGCAGTCATTGATATGAATAATTTACGGGATCGAATGAGTTTATCGTACAGCATTTATTCGCCTACGATTTGTTTTTTTTCTCTGATGCATGCAATCGAAAATATGGAATTTGATGGATTGTTCCGTTGATCACTTTTCCGGGTTTTTGAAAAAATAGCGAAGAATGTGTGGGCCATTGCTGCCTACGAATATCGATTGCAAACAGATGAGAATGAGGTTTCCTTTGGGCATTCAATCCGAGTGGGCGGTTGGCGTGAAACGTTGATTTTTAACTAGATCAGTTTAGTTATATATATTTGATGCCATATTGAAAGGCAACAATGAATACGCTCATCCAAAATTGGAGCCTATACAATCGGAGCGTACGCAGATGGCATCATAAGTACTCTGTTCGAAATTTCTTGAAATTTCAGTTACTGTCATCTAAATTTTCGATGTTGTGAGTTTGAATTCAATGTCAAATGAAAGCGTTCACAAAATTTACTCATTCATCTTGAAAATTCAAGAAAATTAAAGAAAATTAGGTTTTTTCATGCTAAACAATCGTTGATTTTTCAATGAAAACATGGATTTCCAAACTTGTTGTGAAAATTAAACATCACATATAATTCAATTTTCAATAGATTGAGAATTTAAAAAAGTTGTTGCCTGAATTTTCAAAATTGTCAACGTT